GTTCTGATACAACAGTCATTAATTTTCATGCTCCCATTCCCAAAAACCCTGTGAAAGAGCGCGAAAAGCGGGGGGGGGGGGGGGGAGAGAGAGAGAGGGGACCGAGTTGGTGGTTTTGTCCTGGCACAAAAATGACCAGGTTGTGTCCAACTTGCAGTCTCCAGTATTTCTCGTGATGAGAGGGCCCATAAGTAGAGCTGCTGCTGTTTGATCATTGTTTACATCGTGTAATTGCTAAAATGCAAAAAAAAATATCACTGAAAACTATTGGATTTGCGCGTTTTGTAAAATACATCGTGATAGACATAATTTTCTGATATATTGTGCAGCAATCGTTTACAGGATAAAAAAACTTACCAAGCTCACAACTGTTCTACCTGCAACCAAACGATCTACTGCAAACAGTTAACAAATGTACGTGTTTATAATTTCAGTAAATATTTAATTTACAAAATAAAACGTTGCAACGCTTTACAAATACAGCATGGTAAACATTGCATAGATGTTTATCCGTCGGACAAGACATGTATTTACCATCTAATTCCATATAAAATTTAATGTACAAGGCTGTGGTGAAATTTTATCATTTGATTTTTTCATTTCAAAAACGCCCGAACTGCAATGTAGTGGATAGTTTCGGTGGCACAGAGGTGACATGTGTGTGTTTTTATTTATTTCGTGCGCACGGGATACTATGTCGTTGCCACGAGTTACTAAGTCGTGACCACCAGATAATTAAGTCGTGGCTACGAGATAATTAAGTCTTGCGCTCGAGATACTATGTCGTGGCCACGAGTTAATAAGTCGTGGCCACGAGGTAATTAAGTGGTGCTCACGAGATACTATGTCGTGACCATGAGTTACTTAGTCGTTGCCACGAGATAATTAAGCCCTGCGCACAAGATACTATGTCGTGGCCACGAGTTTCTAACTCATAAGAACGAGATAATTAAGTATCTTGGGGTAACTATTGATCAGTACCTGTCCTTTGGTTACAAGGCAGACTCAGTAATTCAGAAGGCCAACGCCAGGTTAAAGTTCCTTTACCGTAAGAAAGATTTCCTTACACAGCATACCAAAAAACTGCTAGTCAATTCATTAATTCAGTGCCACTTTGACTATGCCTGATGTGTCTGGTATAATGGTTTAACTCAGGTCTTGAAAAATAAATTACAGACAACACAAAATAAAATGATGAGATTTGTTCTAAACCTTGATTCCAGAGTTCATATTGGCCCTTCCCATTTTAAATCCTTTAATTGGTTACCAGTTTGTAATAGAGTTGAACAAATCATGTTATGTCACGTTTTTAAGGTTAAAAACCAAATGGCCCCAGAGTACTTAAGTGATTATTTTGTTTCTCAGGAATCTATGCATTCTTATTGCACCAGACTGAGTTTAAAGGAGTGTATTGTCTTCCTAAGGTTAAAGGTTTCGGGTCAAAGTCTTTCAGTTTTATTGGTGCTAAACTATGGAACAGTCTTCCAACTTGCATAACTGAAATTAACAAATTTCATCGTTTTAAGGTAGCCATCAAAAGTCACTTTTTAAATAGCATCTAAGTGTCTTTCAAGAAAATTTTATGTTTTCATTTTTTTATTGAATTATTTTTCGGCTCAGGTTTACTGTTTCATTTTTTGATATTTGTTTTAAATTTTTTATTAAGACTTTAAAAACTTTATTTTTTTAATAGTGTAATCTATGGCATGTTCTTTCCTTACATACAGGGTGATCCAAAATATCTGATACTGTTTTGAAGTTGAATAAATAAGTCATTCCTGATGCAATTATTAAGTGCTATATACCATTGTAAAGAGAATTGTCATACGTTTCTGTCATAATTAATTTACGGGAAAACGTTGACGTCATGACGTCATAGATGACGTCATCAAATAATAGTTGTTTTCAAGATGGCGACGTCAAAACAGAAAGCTGCAGAAATAGTTAAACTTTATTTTGAGACTAAGTCTCCAGTTACAGTTATTCGCATGATGCAGAAAAAATATCCTGATGATGATAAACTCACAAAGCTTCAGGTGCATAGGCTTGTAAATAGATTTAAGCAGACTGGGTCAGTTGAGGATAGCCGACATAACAACAGTGGACGACCAAGATCAAGCCGCAGTTTAGAGAACGTGGCAGAAATCCAGCAAGTGATTCAGGAGACACCACAAAAATCTGTAAGAAAAGTTCTTGGAGACATTACCAATAAGTCTAGTTATGGAAGTGTACATAGGGCATTGCGTTTTGATTTGAATTTGTTTCCCTATTCGTTATCCATTATGCAACATTTGAAAGAAACAGACATTAACAGCAGATTAGAGTTTGCTCGTTGGATGATTGATAATGTAACCACAATTGATAAAATATGGTTTTCAGACGAATCACATTTTTATTTAAATGCAGCTGTAAACAAGCAGAACTGTCGAGTTTGGAGTAAAGAGAAACCAAGATTCTACTTAGAAAAGCCACTTCATGATGACAAGGTGACGGTATGGGCAGCGTTGAGTTCGACTGGTGTGATTGGACCATTCTTTTTTGAATCGAAAGGTGAAACCAAAACAATAAATAGTGAGCGATATATTTCTCTCTTGAAGACAAAATTTCTTCCAGCCCTACGAAGGAAAGGTGTTAACATTAATACAATATGGTTTCAGCAAGATGGAGCGGCACCACACACTGCGGGACACGTGTTGGAATGGTTGAAAGAAACATTTGGCAGAAAATTTATCTCATTTAAATCAGACAAAGTATGGCCTCCACACTCACCTGATCTAAGTCCGTTAGATTTCTTTCTATGGGGACACTTAAAAGACAATGTTTATAATCCAAAGCCAGACACCCTTGAGCAGCTAAAGTCAGCCATTCGCAGAGAAATAAGAAAAATTACACCTGCAATGTGTGTTAACGCTATTGAAAATTTTAAAAAGAGACTTGACGTCGTAGTAGCACAAAATGGACGTCATATTGAACATTTGATGTAAATTTTGTTTGGTAAAATTCATTTTTATTTTTTTATTAAACATAATGACTTTAATGTTAAATAAAACTTTAAAATCTCTAGTTTAAATATGTGTGTTGATATTTAAAATCGTGTGATGTATGTAAAACATACAAGACACTGAAATGGTATCAGATATTTTGGATCACCCTGTACTCATAACAACTGTGATATTTTTTTAATGTAATCCTTTCTTACTATGCACATACTTATTTCTTAATGTGATAATGACTTTTTATTTACAATACCTTACATCTTAAATTGTGATGATTTTAAATGATATCCTTCATTAATGTGATTTATCTTATAATTTGTGATATTTTTTTCTTTTATGAAATACCTCTCTATGTCATGCCACCAAATGCTAAGGACCACAATGGAAATAAGAGCTTGCTCTTTTTTGTGTTATCCTTGGTTTTGGGAACATGTCATGGTTTACATAATATAGTATTTATTCATTTATTTATTTATTTATTTGTAATTGTTTTAATCTATATTGTGTTTGTTTATCTATCTATCTATCTATCTATCTATCTATCTATCTCCTATCCTATCCTATCCTATCCTATCCTATCCTATCCTATCCTATCCTATCCTATCCTATCCTATCCTATCCTATCCTATCCTATCCTATCCTATCCTATCCTATCCTATCCTATCCTATCCTATCCTATCCTATCCTATCCTATCCTATCCTATCCTATCCTATCCTATCCTATCCTATCCTATCCTATCCTATCCTATCCTATCCTATCCTATCCTATCCTATCCTATCCTATCCTATCCTATCCTATCCTATCCTATCCTATCCTATCCTATCCTATCCTATCCTATCCTATCCTATCCTATCCTATCCTATCCTATCCTATCCTATCCTATCCTATCCTATCCTATCCTATCTATCTATCTCAGTCGTGCACATGGGATAATCAACCAATCAGATTACACTATGTATATGAATATTCCTTGTTAACTAGAAATGTACTATAGGACAAAGATGCCCCTTCTTAACCTGCCTGTCAAAGTGCCATAAATACAAGTAATTGGACAATGATTTTACATTTAGCGTCATTGTGACCCTGATTTTTGACCCGATGACCTCAAAATTATTAGGTGTCATCTACTGATAAGGTGCAATGATCTTTCTAGGTTTATTCCTTCTAAATTATTAGACAAGGATTTTACATGAAGTGTCATGGTTACCTTGACCTCAAACATCCTTTTAGGCTATTATATCTACTGGTCATGGACAATGTCCCTACCAAATAAAATAAACCAGGACTTATTCCTTCTCAACTTATCGTATAGACAAGGCCGCTGTACGTACATACTGACCAATTCTATGAAAGAATTGTCCCCACAAAGGGTAATAATTTAATCAAAATTAATGTTTGATTTGAGGGCCCTGGGAGGTGACTTTCTAATAATTATGATCTATCAAGTTTCAAGTTTTTTGAGTATTTTCGAAGATTAATGTCGCGTGTAAAACTTTAAATAGGAATTCACTAAGATTAAAAAATTCATGTATGTAAAGAAAGTGTAATCTGATTGGTTAATTATCTGGTGGACACGACTTAGTAACTCGTGGTCACGACATAGTATCTCGTGCATACGAATTAATTATCTCGTGGCTACGACTAAAACGCACAAATGTCACCTTTATGCCACCGTAGATAGTAGCTTTAGATGGAAAAATCTTTAAAGGATAAAGAAATATATAATATACATTGTACTGGGAATTAAAATTTTTGTGCGATTTTAAAAGCTACTGTATGTGCGCGAAAAGCGTTTTGAACATCGCTTTTCATTTTTGGGTCATAAACGCAATAAAAATATTTTTTTCTGGAAAATAGTGAATGATCTGGAATTGATCATGTTATTGATTCAGACCTACATCAAATGATACACAAACCTCCGAAAAATATTCAAAAAATCATGTCAAAAATCGTAATTGTATCGTTCTTATATGCGGGTTTAAAACAAGTAACAATAAACAATATCACCTTTCTCACTGTTTTGAAAGAATAAAATGAATGTATATATTACATAGTGATTGGAAATTTGGTGATATTAGGAAATTTACCCTGTCTGGCTACTGTTATATTTTATTTTGATCAAAATTGTCTGGTATTTTATTTTGGTGCACGAATGTCTTGTTGTTGTTTTTTTTCAAACAAGATATATCTATGATGTTTTTGAGTTTTTCATGAACTGTTTAAATCCAACATATCCGAGAGCAACAACTCCTACAGTCGCTGCTAGTTTCAGGAACTTTAATGCTTTGAATGTCAAAATAGACTTCATTATAACAGCAGCTGAAGTATCCATGACTTCTAATATCGTCTGCACGGCCGGACGTTGTAATGCTTGCAAGTAGAACGCTTGTACAATTGGACGTTTCTCGGCGGAGAAATAACGTGGTGAAATACCGATAAAACAAAGTCGTATCATCAGGCCTATTGCAGTTATGTCGGCAGCTGTAAATTCTGTTCCAAATAACCAAGTTTCAAGTCTCTCACTATCACCATGCTCTGAAAAGAAAGATGTTTACAAAATATAAAACAAAGTTGAGTTATATCTTCAAAGCACAAGGTCAAATGATGTCTTTAAAATATAATACAATGTCAACTGTTAATATGTGACTCTGTATTATATGTAATTAATTTAAAACTCAGCTAATTTTTACTTTTCATAAATGGTTTAGTAACTTTTCTTCATGAGCAAGTTATGTAATAGAAAGAGCATCAAAATAGGAGGCTCAAGTTATTGGGCGGACAAGCTTTTTAAAGTCAAGGCCCCTGTGACCTTGACCTTTGACCCAGTGACCCTAAAATCAATAGGGGTCATCTACTAATCATGACTAACCTCCATGCCAAATATGAAGACTGTTGGCCAAAGGAATCTCAAGTTATTGGGCGGACAAGGTTTTTTAAGTCAAGGCCCCTGTGACCTTGACCATTGACCCAGTGACCTCAAAATCAATAGGGGTCATCTACTAATCATGACTAATCTCCATGCCAAATATGAAGACTGTGGGCCAAAGGAATCTCAAGTTATTGGGCGGACAAGGAAAAACCGACGGACGGACGGGGAGACGTTCGGACGGCCGGACGTCTGGACGGCCGGACGGACAAGCTGATTCCAGTATACCCCCTTACAACTTCGTTGTGCGGGGGTATAATAACAAATGAAGTTATATCAATCACTAATCATTTCAATTATGCAATGAATAAAAAAGAAAGGAAGAGCTTAATACTGTATAATCATTTTAATAATTTAGCTATAAATGTGTTTGCAATTTATCACTCTATTGTTTAATTTGTTATACTCTGTAGCCTATATAACTAGAAATAATCTAAAACTGAATGAAGTGTCAGTGTATACATGATAGCGTTAACACATTAATAGATCCTAGATGAACAGACACTTTTATATTATAAAATAAAACGCTTGAAATACAACCTACCTCGTTTTGTCTTGTTCAATCTTTCTTCAATTCTGTCAAAAATAACCTCAAGGTCATTCAGATGTTTGGCGACTTCTTCCCTATCTAACACTTTTGCAAGCTTCCTCGAAACCTTGACGATCTTTGCATTGATCGTTTCTTTCATTTCCGGCGGACATTTTTCACTGAACTTAATCAAATGAGTTACCTCTCCTGAAAATCTTTTGCCTGCAAAAATTATTAGAGAAGCACGTGACTTCACACTATGACATGTGCATACGCTACCAACTTCACATCGGCACGTTTGGCACAGAAGATAGTCGGGCATGTGCAAATAACCTTTCTATTTTATTTTATCTTATATTTTAAACAAGAGCACCGTTAGGCGGAGCATTATATGCCCGAAAGTGTTTTTTTTTTTATTAAGGATGAAGCATTTTTAAGACATTACATAGCTTAAATAAAGTATTACCTCCATCCAATAGCAATCCTCCTATAAAGTTTGAATATTGTGGGCAAAATAGAAATAAGTTAGGCTCCGGAAACTGTTTTCAGTTTTAAAGTAATAGTGACCTTGACCTTTGACCTTGTGGCCCCAAAATCAATAGGGGTATTTTACCCAATATAGACATTCATCCTATGAAGTTTGAACACTGTGGGCCACATGGAACTTAAGTAATGCTCCGGAAACTGTTTTCAGTTTTAAGGTAATAGTGACGGACGCCAGGGGGTATAACATAATATGCCCGACATTCTTTCGGGCATATAAAAATCAAACTATTTTAAACACACTATGATTATGAAATATTCAAAATTTGAATATGTGGCTAAAATATATGGATCAACATATAACACATTTTTATTTCATTATATATTCTTTACATTTCTAATAATGTCGTCAGTTTCGCAACGCTTTCTCTGAATGCCCAAACTGTACCTGTTTACATTTTAAGAAATTTCTATTTAAATCGTGATTGGATTATATATTATAAATAAAAAAAATTGTGACAACTTAACAAAAACTCAATACTTTTACCTTGACCGTAAGGATCATTTAAAGCTCGAGGTCAAGGTCAGTTCAATCTTTTAGAATGTCATGATTTAAGATAATCCATTTACAAATAACAAAGTTGCAGATGAAGTCAAGGTTAATCTAGTGTACTAAAAGGTTTTGTCGTAAGGGTTGTTTTGGAAAATATAAAGACAATACACCAAGAACTTAAAAAAGTTATGATCAAGGTACATGTTTGCGGACGTCAACGCCGACAGGACTGTAACAATACCTCTATTTTTGTTAAAAAAAGTCGAGCTAATAAATGAAAAGGTAAGAAAATATAATCATTCAAATTCAATCATTTAAAGGCCAATATCATAACTAAATTATTCCACGTGTCTGTTTCGTCACATATGTTGTTTTGTCCACGTATGGATCAAATCCGTATAAAAATAACAAAATTATGACAACTTAACAAACATTCAATATTTCGACCTTGATGTTAAATGTCATTTAAAGCTTAAGGTCAAGGTCAGTTCAACCTTTAAGAAGGTTTTGTCCAAAAGGTTGTTTTGTCCAAGTATTAAAATAATCCATTGAATAATTACCAAGTTACAACAAATTATAACGATAATCAGTGAAAATTAAATAATTTGACCTTCAAAGCCTACATTAGTCAAGGTCAATTTGAGTTTGATATAAATGAAGGTCATGACCTAAACATATCGTGTCTAAATAGGAAGTTAACTCATTTATAAATTACAAAGTTATAGCCAGTTACAGAAAAAAACAAGAGCATTTCATCAATTTTACATTGACAGTCAAGGTCAATTTTAGGTCAAGGTCACGTCTAAATTGTTCAATTTGTTTGTCTGGTAGCAAGTCTTGTTTTGTCCAAGTATAAATAAAATCCGTTCATAAATAACAAAATTATGTTTTTTTGGTCAGAGATGAAGATAATCCATTAATTTTATTACATACCAAGTAACAGTCAATTATAGAAATCAAAGCACAGAAGGCGCTGAATTTGTTTGGGTCTCAGAATGTCAGAAAGGTGATGGTTGTGAGATTATAAACCAATTTGTTTTTGTATTGTGCCACCAATGCTTTCCAGCGTTTTAATTGTAGTAAATTGGCTATAAGACTAATTGAAACACTGATATTGAATTCAATGTGTATTTGACTTAAACAATTTGAAAAAATGAGTTGCCTTAACTGGGATTTGAACTCCGGATCTCTTGCTGCCTAGAGCGCGCAAACCCCTCGGCCACGGTAAAATTATATGTTTACGGCCTGAAGAAAAACCATATTATTCTAAATTAGGGGTTGTAACGACGCTAACTGTTGTTTAATGCACATGTAAATAATTATGGAGCTTACTATAAGCATGTATATCTATAAAGAATGAAACAATATTAGAAATCTTCGACCATTCGGGAACTTATTTGCTTTAAAATTAATGCACCTGTCATTTGACCATCTTTACGTAGTGATCTCCTCTGAAATTTTAGGCGTTAGTGTACATAGAAAGGGAAGTAACCGCTTCAAAAAAGTGGACTACTTTCGGCATTTGCGATTAACAGCATCAAATCTGACGACCCAAACAAATAAAAATCAGCGAAAATTTAATAATTTAACCATCAAGGTCATAAAAAATCAAGGTCAAATTGAGCCAAATATACATGAAGACCTTATCTTCAATGTTGTCTGTTATAATATGAAGTCAATCCATTCATTAATAATCAGTTATAGCCAATTACAGCAAAGAAATGAAAATTTCAATAATCTGACCTTCAATGTCAAGGTCATTTAAGAGTGAAGGTCAAGGTTTGTCCTGTTAACAGATTTAGATTTAGATCTATATCCTAAAAGATTATTATGTTCAAGTTTGAAAACAATCCATTAAAAAAAACCCATAAATAGTCGCTAAAAACAAAAATCAGGAAAACATAAAAATTTAGACATTTGACATTTAAGGTCAAGGTCATTTATGAATGAAGGTCAAGGTATGTCTAGTATACTTGAAGGTCTTGTCCCAATGGTTGTTGTGGCCAAGAATGAAGACAATACACCAAGAACTTAAAAAGTAATGCTCAACGTTAAGTTTGCGGACGGCAACGGAAACGTCCGGCATGACTGTAACAATACGAATACAGTCGGATTTGTTCTTGCTTCCACCTTTATAACGCGGCTTTTTTTTTATTAAGCAACCGTATGTGTTTTTATTTATTTATTTTTTTTCCCCAAAAAAGTCGAGCTAAAAATAATATTTCATTACATTAAGATTTGAACCTGCAACCTTCAGTCGATAGTACTCAATACTATATCAACTCCCGGTCATAGTCGCCTTAGAACTATTTTTCATAGTACTTTGACATTGAACCGCGTTCGTAAAATAGACAGGTAGTGACGTACAAAGTGAATATTCATGAAGCCAGCTTGGCACAAAGTATGTTAGCTAGTATTCATCCGTAGCTGTTGTACAGAAATTAGAAACATTCTCCGTTCGAAGTTTCTAATTTCTGTAGAACAGCACGGATGAACACTAACATGAAATACATACTTACATAATGTCTATGTCTAACATTATAAGATTCAAACCTCACAGACTGAAAGAATACCTACTTATTTCTTCCCTAGCGGTTACTTTTGCGGGTTACTTATCCACGAAGCTGCTGTCGAGAAGGAACTCTCGATTCGCAAATACGCCATAGGTGATGACGTCAATATGAATGTCATGAAGTAACTGCCGGAAAGCCCTAACTTCATTTCCGACCGCCGTATCAACATCAGGTACAAAAAGCATCTCAAAACGGACGGGTCCATTGACGAATCATTACTTAGTGTTCTAGAGGAAAACCTGGATAGCGATATCTCACCATTTGATGTATCCGATATTAGCACGTGTCATGCTGCTAACAGCTCCAAATCTCAATTTCTGGTTAGATTTGTCTCCAGGGTTCCTATTCGGTTGCTGTTTTCATTGAAGAGTCGTGTTTCTCTCAGCGCCACGTATTCTGGGGTGTTTATTACTGAGGATATGTCTCCCTTGCTTATGAAACTCTTAAACTACATCAAAGAGAACAAAGCGGTCTCCAAGGTGCATACTAGGGATGGAAATATCCATTGTACTTTTAACAATAATCACTATACAATTTCTTCACCAGAAGATCTATTCAAGCTTGATATGGAGGTAGACTACGCGAGGTTAGGTCTGCAGGCCTTTGAATAGGATCACGGAGAGGCACAGAACATTAACAATGACTCTGTCATCAGTGAAATTGACAATAATAGTTTAAATGTTAATCTTGTTAACAGTTCTAAAGTTTTTTCAGTTGATAGTTTAACATCGTCAGATGTAAATCATGTTATAAACCATGATCACTTTTATTGTACTAATGATCATAGTAACAGTTTAAAATTTTGCTCTATTAATGTTTGTGGGTTAATCTCAAAGCTGAAAAACCCAGATTTTGTTTCTTTTGTATCAAGATATGATGTATTGTTTTTAAGTGAAACTAAGCTTGATGCATATGATCAAATTGTTTTCAAGGATTTTGACTTTCTACAAATAGCCAGAGAGAAATGTAGAAATAGGTCCGGTGGTGTTGGAATTTTTATTAAGAAAAATGTAGCAAATAATTTTACTCTGTTAGATTGTAGCACAGAAAATTTTTTATTCCTGAAATGCAATGTATCTAATATAATATTTATCAATACCTATATACCACCTGAAGGATCTAGGTATGGATCATCTATTGACTTGTTTGATAGTTTAGAAAATACCATTCTTGATTTAAGTGTTAAATATGCTAATTGTCAGTTTTGTATAGTTGGTGACCTCAATGCGAGATCGGGAGTTCTTACCGATTCCACTGTCTATGATAAATATATCTCGGATGATAATTTTGATGATATTACTGTGCAACAAATGGTGTTAAATAATTTAAGCGATCTAGGTTTTCCTATAGAACGTTTTTCCATGGATAGAAAATGCAATAATTTTGGTTATAGACTTACTCACCTATGTAAGGCGCTGAATATTTTTATCGCCAATTGAAGGTGTGGAGCTGATGCGTATATTGGTAAACATACTTGTATTAAAGGCGATGGCAGTTTAATTGATTACTTACTGTTGTCAGGGAAATTGTTTTCTTGTATCACTAGGTTTGACATATTACAATTTGATCCAATATTATCTGATGTACATTGTGCTATAGAGTTTTGTCTTAATTTGGGTATCCAACCAAATAATGATATTACTGATGATGCAGGTATTGATATTAACAGTAATAGCGATGAGTTCTACTGTAAACCTATATGGATAACCGAGGCAAATACTGATTATAGAGATAAATTTGACCCGGATGTTGTTTCTAACTTGTTAGATGTACTTAAGGATGTTTTTGGTAATCAACAGTATACAGATGACTCTGTTAATCAGTTAACTGAGAAGGTAACATCTATTTTAACAGATGCTGCTAAAGATTGTAATTTGTTTAAGAAAAGGCATGTTATTAGTAAACCTAGAAAGCCATCAAATACTTGGTTTGATAGTGAGTGTATAGATGCACGGTCTGATTATCACAAGTGTAAAAATATTTTTCGTAAAAACCCTTCCAAAAGAAATAGAGAAATATTAGTTAATACTAGCAGAAAATTTAAGAAAAAACTTAATAAAAAGTTAAGGAATTTTCAGAGGGCAATTGTTGACAAAATTAAAGGGCTGAAAAACAAAGACCCAAAGGCGTATTGGAGCATGTTAAACAAATACAGTAACAATAAAAAAGAAATTGTTAATAATATTGCCACTGAAGTGTTCCATGAACATTTTAGTAAGTTGAATGAAAATATAGCGAATGACGCACCAGATGATTTCAATGTTTCAAATGTATCTGCGAATAATATAGATTTAGACAAACCTTTTACAGTAGAGGAAATTAGAAGAACCATTCGTTTACTTAAAAACAACAAAGCTTCATCTTCATTTGATGATGTGTTAAACGAGTATTTGAAATATGCACCAGATAATATGTATGAAATTTTTTGCTATTTGTTTAACATCATTTTTAGACTCGGGAATATTTCCTGAAGTATGGAGTAAGGGTATTATTTTGCCAATATATAAGAATAAAGGTGATGTTTCTGATCCAGACAATTATCGTGGTATTACAATTTTGAGCTGTTTTGGTAAACTTTTTACGAATGTTCTTAATACTAGACTCAATAATTTTTTAGAGAATAATAATATATTGTGTGAAGAGCAAGCTGGATTCAGAAAGAATTATAGTACAACAGATCACATCTTTTCCTTAAAAATGTTAATTGATCTGTATTTGTCTAAAGGTAAAAAACTGTATTGTTCATTTATTGACTACAGGAAAGCCTTTGATAGCATTAATAGAACTGCACTCTGGCAAAAATTGTTAAGTAATAATGTTGATGGTAAATGTATAAAAATAATATATGATATGTATAAAAAAGCTAAATCTTGTGTTCAGGTGAACTCCTTTAGTAAAATGTCAGATTTTTTTCACAAGCCATACAGGTGTTAGGCAAGGTGAAAATCTTTCGCCTGTCCTATTTTCTTTGTTTTTGAATGATTTAAGCCAGTTTTTTGTCACAACATTATAATGGTCTAGTTTCATTATCTTCAGTAGTAAATGATACTCTGAGTAACTTCGATGTTGAGGTTTATTTTAAATTGTACATACTACTTTATGCTGATGACACTGTAATTTTTGCTGAAACTGCAGATGAATTGCAAAAAGGCACTTGATGCAATGAGTAGTTACTGTAATATGTGGAGTCTCCAAGTTAATCCTGCAAAAACTAAAATTGTTGTATTTTGTAAAAATGTACGTGGTATTCGTAATGCTCCTAATTTCATTTTTGAAGGTAATATGTTAGAAGTAGTCGACTCTTTTTCATATCTTGGCGTAAAGTTTTCGTATAATGGTAAATTTACTAAAACAAAAGAATATTTGTTACAACAAGCTAGAAAAGCAATGTTCTCTGTAATAGTAAAGTCTAGAAGGCTGAACCTGCCTATTAGTATGCAAATACATTTGTTTGATACAATGGTAGCACCCATTTTGTTATATGGAAGTGAAGTGTGGGGAATTGAAAATTTTAGACTTGATAGATCAATTTCAGTTAAAAATTCTATAAACTTATTCTTCGTTAAAACAAAGCACTCCTAATTGTATGCTATATGGTGAACTAGGGTGCTACCTTTGTCTATTCATGTTAAGGCTCATATTTTATGTTACTGGAATAGAATTTTAAATGCTAAACCTGAGAAAATATGTCATATATTGTATAATGTTTCTTATAAGTTGTATAGTGATGATAACAATGTAAAACTACCTTGGATCAATTATGTACACAATTTATTGGACTCTCTGGGCATGTCAAATTACTGGATGTATAATATACCTTCTTCACAGCAATTGTTCAAGAACATTGTTAAAAACTAGATTGAGAGATCAATATTTACAACAATGGCATAGTTTTGTGGCTGAGTCCAGTAAAAGCCTTAATTACAGAATGTACAAAGATTCCTTTGTTTTTGAAAATTATCTAGATACTTTGCCTTACCATTTGTCTAATGCTATTTTAAAGTTCAGATGTACGAACCATAGATTACCTATAGAAAAGGGGAGATTCTTTGGTATCCCGAGAGATGAAAGAACATGTCATTTATGTAATACAAACTCTTTAGGGATGAATTTCATTACCTGTTTGTGTGTGACTTTTTTAAGCAGGAGCGTCGTAAATATATTTCAGTAAGATATACTAGTAATCCTAATACTTTGAAATATTCATTGCTAATGAATAGTACAGACAAAAACGAGCTTGTTAAACTTGCTGTTTATTGCAGGAAAGTAATGCATGTTTTCAAATGATAAACGAGGTTGTGTAATATATGTATACATTTTGATAGTAAATAGTATTGTGTAGTATAATATTATGTTTCTTAAGGCTAACATGTATTTTTATCACCTATGTGTTAGAAATGGCTCAGTGTCTGATATTGCTCAAATTTTGTCTGATATTGCTCAAATTTAGTCTGATATGATAATTTTCTGTTTATCTAGTCATAGCAAATTTGTATCAGGTCATTTGTTCATGTTATATAGCAAATTTTCCTATGTGTTAGAAATGGCTCAGTGTCTGATATTGCTCAAATTTTGTCTGATATTTCTCAAATTTAGTCTGATATGATAATTTTCTGTTTATCTAGTCATAGCAAATTTGAATCATGTCATTTGTTCATGTTATATAGCAAATTTGTATTACGTCATTTGTTCATGTTTAATATGTTGTGTTCTGATGCCTCTCAGAGGCCTAGAATTTGAAAATAAAAGTTCAAAGTACAAGTTTTGGACCTGTAAAATAAAAAAAAAGAATATGTACATCATTTTACTTCATTCCTCACTTCTAAAATGGCAATTTAAATAATCGACTCAAAATAATTATTTAAGCACGGCGTACAAATTACTATGATGTACCAGTTCTAGAACAAACAACTGACATTCAAAGCAACATTGTCTGATGTGAAATTGCGAGAACATTTTGAGATATTAATGGTTTATTTAATATGAATTTTCTTGGATGTATATCTTTTTATACAATGCGTGAATTTTTCGCACATTCGTGGTGTTGTGACATAGAATAGTACGCCCTGAAATAAAAATGTAGTTTTATACAGTATCATATGTACATGCATCCTTTTTCCAGATTCTTACATTTATCATTAGATTTTAATACACGAAACTGGTGATTAATTTATGAATACAGCTATACATACCCGTATGGAATGTTTGATCTATGACGTTTATGATATCTTCTGACTCGGCTGTACATTTTCCATCTATTTCGAGGCACGGAACTTCCCCCATATTATTCTTTTTCAAATACCAGTCTTCATTTTGCTCGCCAGTTACAATTACGATGAGCATCTTCTTGAACGATATGTTCTTTTCATAAAGTGCATGTAGAACCTATATTTAAAAATAACATGTGTGTTAAGAACAACATTCGGCTTGAAATCTATATCAGCGGACGGTTGCAATTTAAACGTAAAAACATTCGTTATATCTCGCGCCGAAATATTGTGATAGTCATCGTCCGTTCTTCTGGCCTGTGCTTCTTGGCATCTAGAAGCGCAATAAACTACAGTTTAGTAGTTATTTCCCTTTACTCCTACATAGGACTTATCTTCTTTTTATAGAATTTTAATAGTGGCACCAAGAAGCTTCCGTACCTTCATATTACCTGGGACTGCTTGACTAGAAAATTAAAGGTGCAATATACTCGTACATGTATTTCATGCACTTAGCTCATTGAAGAATTAAAAAATCTAGGTTAAATTAAAAAAAAATTCATAGATATCATCCTTCTCCCTAATTGGTGAGAGCAAAGCACTATAAATTAAGACCAGCACACCTTGTAACAATATCTAGCGTAACACGATTTAAAAATGTACTACATGTATAATTTGTTATACTATGCGAACTTGTTACATGCGGTTAGTAAGGAGGATTTTGAAGTATAACACCAATTAAAACTTATAATGTACAAGCAAATCATAATGTGTGAAGGCTACGATTTCTTGAATTTGTACAACTTAATACTAGATTTACAGGATATGACATGTTCTATCACACATGCAGAAATATAATTTTTCACTGTAACACCAAAGTATTTAGGGTGCTTAGTTATGTTATTCATTCAAGAACATAGTAATTTCCTAAATGTTAATCAATCTTCTTAATTGGTAAATACCAACAATTATAATTATTGTATCATAGTTTCGGGACCTTTCTGTTGAAAAAGTGTCAGAGTTAAGTCGTATACATATACATGCTCAGTGCGGTTACTGGAGTGCAGGTATCAGTTACCCGCACTCAAGATCATGCCCGTTGATTGGCTCATTTTTGCTGGGGTTTTCATATTGTGACGGCAGAGAAAAGGAAAGCGGCAGAAATATCATATTCAGATGCTCGATCATTGGTTACTTTTTCCCGGGGTTTAAAATTGTGACAACAGGGAACGTAACTCATTCTACCCATATGACCAGTGCATCTGTGCCGCCGGATACTAGTAATAGGCTGTACTGTTTGGTTATCACAGTTCCAGTTACACTAGTGTAGTCCTGAGTATAAACGAGACATCTCAATGTCAAAAGTTTGAATATGCCAGTTACCATGAGAGCATTGCTTATATTGAATATTTAAGAAACAAATTGCATGTTCTTACCTTTAGGGAATAATAAGATCCAGGAAAATAATAAAGAATAACCGATTTATCTTTTATGTTCGCCATTTCCAAAATTTATAATTCAGCCTAATGACCTCAATATACGCATTATAATATATATATTTTTATCACTGTGTGAAAGCTGTACATAATCATTGGTAACAGTACGGTTTACACACAAACATACAATAACAAACTTATAGAAAAAAGAGAACATTTCATGAATAGAATTTCCATATATTCACGTACATTGAATCTATATTAGATAGTGAAAGAATCACATAAATAGCACAGAATAACTTTTCCTCGATATCTAAATGCATTTCATAAAAGTTTAAAAGCTGGAACGGGTTTAATTTTTTTTTAAATATAATTCCTTTGTAAGTTAAAACTCATTTGATTGATATAGATGTCTGACAGTTCAGGAAAAATGTTGTGGATAGGTCTACAATAGGCATTTTCCATAAATTTTCAATTGATAAAAACAAAACAATAGAAATGTGTTAGAAAGATTTAGATTGAAAACAGGATGAATGGGCGGACGAAAGACATTGTTCATCATGAACTTTGGTAGGCTTGCTAGAGATTAGAATATTACATGTATTTTATTTGGAATAAACAAAACAGTAGTCAAAATGAACAAAGTCTGTGTTTTATTATTATAAATGTAACAAATATACAAACAGTATATAAAAATAGCAACAAAAGGGACGAATATAGTAATATTACATGGATTTTTCAAGTCAACTAAAAAAAAAGGTTTCTATTTATACCTGGGACTTAGTAGTTATATTTCAAGTCCCATATAAATACTGAAAGTAGAACACACACTGGAATGAAAAATTTGGGATGAATTTCAAAAAGACCAAGTTCAGGTATTTTTTGTTAATACGCGTTAACAAATATTAAAAAGTCATGAATGAATTTTTGCATGACATGTTGATATAGTGAAACATTTGCTTTTA